AAAGGGGGCGCCTTTGCTACCGCTGCGGCAGTGAGGACCATCTGTCCGCTGCCTGCAAAGCGAAGACCCCGCGCTGCGCCGTTTGCGCTGATGCCGGGCGCCCCTCCGGGCATGTGATGGGTGGCCGTGACTGCAAGCCACCCGTCACGAAAGGCAGGGCGGCTCATCAGACCAGAGCCGCCCCTAGTGATGGAAGCCGCCAGGCTGGGGAGGAAGCGCAGATGTCAACGTAATGCCCAGACATCTTCAGCGCTTCCTCCAGGCGAACGTCAACCACTCGGCTGGAGCGCAGGACCTGTTGCTGCAGTCCATGGCCGAGTGGGAAATTGACATGGCGGTGGCCTGCGAGCCCTACTTCGTCCCTACCCTGTCGCAATGGGTGGGGGACTTAGAGGGTTCCGTGGCTATAGTGTCTGGGAGCAGCACCGGCCCCCGTCTCTCGGTAATCGAGAGGGGCCAGGGACTAGTCGTGGCAGGGTGGGGAGAGTACGCGATAGTAGGAGTGTACTTCTCCCCCAACCGCAGTCTGGCGGAGTTCGAGGTTTTTCTCGATTCCGTCCGCGCTGCGGTTGGTAGGTTGTCGCCGAGACCAACAATCGTCCTCGGCGACTTCAATGCCAAGTCCCTGGCTTGGGGGAACCCCACCACGGACAATCGTGGACGAGCCGTCCAGGTGTGGGGCCTACTCTCCGGGCTGTCCCTCCTCAATGTGGGGACGGCATTCACTTGCGTGCGGCAGCAGGGGGGGTCTGTGGTGGACCTAACGTTCGCCACCCCCGACGTCGCGCGCAATGTGATAAACTGGAGGGTAGAGGTGGAGGTGGAGACCCTGTCGGACCACAACTACATCCGATTTGAGGTCTCCACCCGTCCGGTGCCAGTGGACCGCCCAACGGGGCCCTCTCGTGCGTTCCCAAGGTGGGCCCTTGGCCGGCTCGATCCTGAGCTGGCCCGGGAGGCGGCCATCGTGGAAGCGTGGTGCTCCCAGGGGAGTGTGGTGGGCGCCGGCTCCGAAGTGGAGGAGCTGGCTGGCCGCATGCGCGACGCCCTCACAAGGGTCTGCGATGCGGCCATGCCGCGAGTTAGGCGGCACGACCGGCGTCGCCGGTGTGTGTACTGGTGGTCGCCCGAAATTGCAGGACTCAGGGCGGCCAGCAGTAGGGCCAGGAGGGCATATGTCCGGTGCAGAAGGAGAAACGGCCTGGACCCTGAACTGGAGAGCGAGCTGCGGCAGGCCTATAAGTCTGCAAAAAAGGCCCTGCAGCTCGCCATAAGCCAGGCCAAGGCGGTGGCCCGTCAAGAATTGTTGGCGGGCCTCGACAGGGATCCGTGGGGGCGCCCTTACATCAGCGCGCGGAACAAGCTCCGCGCGCACGGCGCCCCGGTCACGGAGACCACGCCGCCCGATGTTCTCCTTCGGCTTGTGGGAGGACTGTTTCCGGAGTCGTCGGGTCACAACCCCCCAGTGATGGCTCCTCCCTCATTCCACGAGGGAGTTGAGGAAATCCCCCCGATCACTGAGGGGGAATTTAGCCTGGCCCTCGACAAACTACGGGCCAGGCGGAGGGCTCCGGGACCGGACGGTATTCCGGGGCGGATTCTAACCATCGCCCTGGAATACCTGGGAGGGGACCTTCGGGCTCTGTTCAACGCATGTCTTCGTGTTGGGCAGTTCCCGAAGGTCTGGAAGGAGGGGAGATTGTGCCTACTGCCCAAGGAGGGTCGTCCTCTGGACTCTCCTTCGGCGTACAGGCCAATCGTGATGCTGAGTGAAACGGGCAAACTCTTCGAGAGAATTTCTCGCTGCCCGTATCACTCGGCATCTGGAGGAGGTGGGGCCGGGCCTTTCAGAGGCTCAGTTCGGGTTCAGGGCGGGAAGATCAACGGTGGACGCCCTGAACGCCCTGAAGGTCCGGTCCTTGGCCGCAGTGGAGGAGGGAGACGTGCTCTTAGCCGTCTCGGTGGATGTGGCCAACGCCTTCAACACCCTGCCGTTTGAGACTCTACGAGAGGCACTACGCTATCATCAGGTGCCTCTCTATCTCCGGCGGGTGTTGGACGCGTACCTCCATGACAGGCAGGTCATGTGGATGGGGGCAAATGGGGTGGTCAGTCGGCGACGTGTCGACTGCGGGGTTCCACAAGGGGCCGTTTTGGGCCCGGTACTGTGGAACCTCGGCTACGATTGGCTCCTGCGGTGTCCGCTCCTTCCCGGGCTGGGTGTCATCGCCTACGCTGATGACACCCTGGTGACGGCCCGGGGTCGTTCATATGAGGAAGCGGCACGCTTGGCCACAGTCGGAACAAATCTGGTCGTCGACCGGATTGGGATGCTGGGCCTGAGGGTCTCCATAACCAAAACGGAGGCCCTCCTTTTCCATGGCCCACGCAAGGGTGCCCCTAGAAATGCCTGCCTGCGCGTCCAGGGGAGGATGGTGGAGGTAAAGGCCCAAATGAAATATTTGGGCCTGACCCTGGACGCTCGCTGGACGTTCCGTGTCCACTTCGCCCAGCTCACCCCGAAATTGATGAGCGCCGCCTCGGCCCTCGGCAGACTTCTGCCGAACGTCGGGGGCCCTGGATCTCCTTGCCGGCGGCTTTATGCCGGCATCGTGAGGTCCATGGCACTGTACGGTGCTCCTGTTTGGATTGACGCCCTCGCTGCTGAGAACAGGGCCCAATTGCGCAGGGCGCAGCGGGTCCTGGCGGTGAGGGCGATACGGGGGTACCGTACGGTGTCCTATGAGGCGGCGACGCTTCTGGCGAGCGATCCGCCCTGGGAACTCCAGGCGGAGGTGCTCGCCGAAGTGTACCAATTTCGGGCGAGTGAGCGTGGGCGCGGGGAACGTCCAGCGTGGGAGGGAGTCGCTCGGATCAGGCGCCTAGCTGACGAGGCCCTGATCCGGCGCTGGAGGGAAGATCTGGGGACTCCGGCGGCTGGCCTGGCGACGGTGGGTGCGGTTCGTCCGTACCTGTCTCGCTGGGTCAGGAGGCCACACGGCGTCCTGACGTTCAGGCTGACACAGATGCTTACCGGGCACGGGTGCTTTGGTAAGTATCTGTGTCAGATTGCACGTCGGGAACCGTCGCCCGTATGCCACGAGTGTGGTGCGTCCGAGGACACCTCGCACCACACCCTCGCGGTATGCGCCGCATGGACTCCCCAGCGCCATGCCCTGATGGCGGTAGTGGGTGGAGACCTTTCGTTGCGAAGCGTGGTGGGGGCCATGCTACGCGACGCGAGGTCCTGGTCGGCGATGGTCTCCTTCAGTGAGACCGTCATCTCACTGAAGGAGACGGCGGAGAGGGAACGCGAGGCTAACGCCTTAGCAGACCCTCTTCGTCGCCGTCGGCTGGGGGGGAGGAGGCGCCGGTATGCGCATCTTCTCCCGCCACCCTAGAGGAGCTACTGCGGGGGGGTCTCTCGTTGACTCCCCTGCACGTCATCGGGGCGGTCGGGATGCCCTGCGAACCGAGGGCATCCTGATTTAGGCGAGGCTGGCCCGCGTGGTACGGGCCGTCCGCAGGGGTGTTGCAGTGAATGCGAAAGCGATCCTGCACGCCCCATTGCACTGCGGCGAAGGGTTCCGCTGTGGGTTTTAGTGAGTAGGAGTCTCACAGTACCCTGCCCATGACGGCGGCAGGGTCCCCATGATGGGTTTCCCCAGCGAAAACAAAAAAAAAAAAAAAAAAAAAAAAAAAAAAAAAAAAAAAAAAAAAAAAAAAAAGGTTAGAACATTTAAGATTATTTATTAATTATTCGTCATATCTTGGTTAGGTTAGGTTAGAACATTTAAGATTATTTATTTATTATTCCTCATATCTGGGTTAGGTTAGGTTAGAACATTTAAGATTATTTATTTATTATTCCTCATATCTGGGTTAGGTTAGGTTAGAACATTTAAGATTATTTATTAATTATTCGTCATATCTTGGTTAGGTTAGGTTAGAACAGTTGCCACAACGCACGAGCCGAGCGAGCGAAGCGAGCGTGCCGCGGTAGCGGCCGGCGAGTGCCATAAATGACTAGAAAACTAGAAAATTCGAATTTCACGCAAAGTACAAATAAAGACAATCATCTGGAGATCATTTTGACAATTGAAAGTGACGTTTTGACTCCAAGTGTCTAAATGGTAGTAATGTCAAAATAATGTATGGAAATGTTATAACTTTAAGTCTCAATAACTTTTGACTCTTTTGTTGTATTAAAAAAATTATTTAACATTTCGACTCCCTATCACGTCCCTTATCCAGAAATACCACCCACTCCGCTAGGGGCCAAGTCCCCAATTCTAAACGGCCGCCGAATTATATTTTTGTCTGCATATATTTAAATTATTTTATAGGTATTTTATGTTAGGTTTAATAAAACTTTACCATTGACCGACTGATAGAATATAGAAGCACGAATAGAATAATATTATGTATAACGAGCACGAAATCCTTGTATGAAAAAAGCGAGCACTAAGTAATATTATTTTGAGAATTTGTTTCCTAACCTCCTGCCTACCAGAGACACTTTTTTTGGAGTACGCTCTTGAAATTTTAGTATAATATCGGTAATAGGTTATTATATGCTGGAAAAATAGTAAAAAAAATCCTATATCTGGAAAAACGGTTTTCCACTATGTCCTATATGTAGGACAAAGTGACTATATTACTATGTGATTTGTGTAGGACATAGAATAGTTTATAAATATAAATTGTAATTAGAAAAGAAATAAATACAACATATTGTAACCTTTATATTATATATAGGCATTATAAAGTTTCTGAAAAAAACAAAAAGAAAACTTCTTCTAAATAAAACTTTCAAAATTAAACATTTCTTGTCATAAAAATAACTAAATATTATTATGAACTTACAAATCAGTCGCAATTAGGAATATATTTAGATATTAATCAAGTTTTATCGACACTTATACCCTTATTACTACTCTAAGTTTTGGTGAAAATCGGAATAACAATTCCTATTTGGCGTGAAGCAGAGATTAATATCACATTATTTGCAAAATACTGTAGTTTTTTAGATAGGGCAAATGTAGTATAACCTGATAAATCACCACGTCACAAACTGCGCCTTGCGGCGTAGCAAGAACCTTCAGCCCAACAGGGTTCGGTTTGTTAGGACAGTATTGGTGCATCGGACATTTTCCAGTAAACGGATTAATCATTTCGTCAATATTCTTGGGCCGGTTTTGTTCGTGACACATCTCCAAGATTCGATTAAACAGCGGCTGTATTTTCCAATTTTTTTGTATCTTCTGTTCTGCTGTCACTTCAGCATCATAAACACACTTCAGCCGTCGTCTGATAAAAAAGAATCTGTTCCTTTTCATAGCTATTGCAACTATGGAAACTTTCCACTTTTCTGACCAGTACATATCAATTTGTGGATACTGCAGTACTGACATTATCATTGTTATTCCTATATTCTGAATCTAATGTATCCTTGGTCCAGGTATCTTGAAAGCCATCATTATGTTGACGATTTCTAATTAATTGCAATCTGGCGGGTTGACAAAGGCGACGATTGCGGCCATGGAGTATCCTCGCTCAAACTACCACGTCCACGACCGCGGCCACGTCTATGTCCACGTGAAACACTGCTGCCACGTCCTTTTGAGCGGGGCCGTGATGATGATGATATCAGAACTGTTAGAGAACGCCGGGGAAGCAGCTGCAGGAACCAATGTGTTTCCCTCTTCATCTGAACTGCTTGACTCACTGATTTGATGATCATTGGCTGTTTGGTTAAGTTCTAGCGGCACAAACGTCGAATCTTCATCTGAATCATCTCCCGAAAATTCAAACTCAGAATCGTTTAAAGCCTCCGCTATTCCATTGTCCGTTAAAACTAGAACAAACATAAGTAAGATAAAATATCTATCAATGTACTTTATATAGTACATCGGAAGTCTAAGTACTAAAACTTTTATTGCCTACATTTGTCTTCTGCAAAGGACATAAAAAAATACAATACGTTGTCTTGCATGTTTTATACAATTACGCGAAAATACAACTGCATATCATCATTTTAAACTTCTAATTACTTTACTATCGCAAGAAATCCAATAAAAATTTAGATTTACATAAGATTTAAATCGATTAACTTACCTCTGAGCGCAAGCATCGACACATGTCTGTCTTCCATCGCCATTTTGAAAAAAGAGGATCACATGGGAACTGACATTTATCTCTATTTGGAAACCTAGATAGTCGATAGATGTCACCACGCAAATATTTTGGGATTACGATTTTAAAAACCGGTAGTATATTTTTTTAATTCCAATGTCCTGGCTGTAGTACAGATGTAGGCAGGAGGCTAAAGCATTTTAATTTAATTTATTTAATAGAAAATGAAAATTTGTATGGCAGTAATGACGAACATTTAGGAAAAAACAAATAAAAATCGGTTACAAAATTACTTAAAAATAATTATTCTAACCATAGAAGACTTTTTTTTTATTTAAAAAATATAAAAATATAAAGAGGAATTTCGGTCTCCTCCTTTTTAATATGGTCAAAAATGAAATTGATTTTTAAGCTGCATAAATTGCCGATGGGAAATCCCATTGGGCTCACTGCTTATCTATACATATAATAAAATTGTAACTAAGCTGAATCTGTACATTAAATATTTTTTTGAAAAATCTTATTAAAATAGATATTATTATCAATACAGAGGCCGAATATATAGTTTTTAGAATTTTTGTCCGTCTGTCTGTCTATCTGTGTGTCTGTCTGTCTGTCTGGCCGCATCATGGAAAAATCACTGGAGGGATTTTGATGAAATTTGGTATCCGGGTCAACATATATGTCAGTGAACTTAGCAGATCATTGTCCAGCAGATCAAAAAAAAAAGTGAGTTCTATTCGCATGCACGAGAGTTCTATAGTTCCTGATACTTTTTAGAAATAGTTCTGGCGTTTTTACCTTAAAAAAAGTCAATTGACAAAATGATCTGCTAACTTCCCGTAGCAGATCATTTTGCAGAAAATCAAAAACAAATGTGAGTTCTTCGCGCAAGGAGCTGAGTTCTACAGTTCCTGATACTTTTCAGGAATAGTTCTGGACTCTCAGCCAAGTTCCAGCAGATCATATCCGAATTTTTGAAAAGTCAGAACATACCATTTTTATTGTTTCAAATTATTGTAAAAGGCTAGAACTCTTTCGCTTATCACCGATCTGTATCAGAACTCTAATATAGAACTCGATTCGAGTCCAGAACTCACGTCCAAGTGCCAGCAGAGCATACCTGAAGGTTGGAAAATGTGAAAAAACAAACTATTTTCATTGTTTTAAATTATTTAGAAAGGCTAGAAGTTAGAACTCTTTCGTTTATAACAGATCTGTACCAGAACTCTAATATAGAACTCGATTCGAGTCCAGAACTCACGTCCAAGTGCCAGCAGAGCATACCTAAACGTTGGAAATTATGAAAAAAAAACCTATTTTTATTGTTTTAAATTATTTAGAAAGGCTAGAAGCTAGAACTCTTTCGTTTATAATAGATCTGTACCAGAACTCTAATATAGAACTCGATTCGAGTCCAGAACTCACGTCCAAGTGCCAGCAGAGCATACCTAAACGTTGGAAATTATGAAAAAAAAAAACCTATTTTTATTGTTTTAAATTATTTAGAAAGGCTAGAAGCTAGAACTCTTTCGTTTATAATAGATCTGTACCAGAACTCTAATATAGAACTCGATTCGAGTCCAGAACTCACGTCCAAGTGCCAGCAGAGCATACCTAAACGTTGGAAATTATGAAAAAAAAAACTATTTTTATTGTTTTAAATTATTTAGAAAGGCTAGAAGCTAGAACTCTTTCGTTTATAATAGATCTGTACCAGAACTCTAATATAGAACTCGATTCGAGTCCAGAACTCACGTCCAAGTGCCAGCAGAGCATACCTAAACGTTGGAAATTATGAAAAAAAAAACTATTTTTATTGTTTTAAATTATTTAGAAAGGCTAGAAGCTAGAACTCTTTCGTTTATAATAGATCTGTACCAGAACTCTAATAAAGAACTCGATTCGAGTCCAGAACTCACGTCCAAGTGCCAGCAGAGCATACCTGAACGTTGGAAATTATGAAAAAACAAACTATTTTCATTGTTTTAAATTATTTAGAAAGGCTAGAAGTTAGAAATCTTTCGTTTATAACATATCTGTACCAGAACTCTAATATAGAACTCGATTCAAGTCCAGAACTCACGTCCAAGTGCCAGCAGAGCATACCTGAAGGTTGGAAAATATATAAAAACAAACTATTTTCATTGTTTTAAATTATTTAGAAAGGCTAGAAGCTAGATCTCTTTCGTTTATAACAGATCTGTACCAGAGGTCTAATGTAGATTTTGATTTAAGTCCAGAACTCACGTCCAAGTGCCAGCAGAGCATACCAGATCGTTGGAAAATATGAAAAAAAAAACTATTTTTATTGTTTTAAATTATTTAGAAAGGCTAGAAGCTAGAACTCTTTCGTTAATAACAGATGTGTATCAGAACTCTAATATAGAACTCGGTTCGAGTCCAGAACTCACGTCCAAGTGCCAGCAGAGCATACCAGAACGTTGGAAAATATGAAAAAAAAATCTATTTTCATTGTTTTAAATTATTTAGAAAGGCTAGAAGCTAGATCTCTTTCATTTATAATAGATCAGTACCAGAACTCTGATGTAGAACTCGATTCGAGTCTAGAACTCACGTCCAAGTGCCAGCAGAGCATACCATTTTCGATAGAACCATGATTCGATGGAGCCATGTTTTCCTGTAGGAATGAATAATTTGCCTGTCGTAAGAGGTATCCTAAATGTTGACCCGAGTACTAAGTTTTATCACTTTACAAAATTTAGTTAAAATCGGTTGATTACTTTTTGCGTGAAACGCGCACATCGATTTGACTAAGTTAGTTTTATTATACGTATATATAAGAATAAATATTGCGAGTGTTACTTAGGAGATAGACATATACAATTCAGAACTTTACTGTAGGACTTTTCAAGACCTACAATATTTTAGTATATTGTTTTAATGTATTTCTTAAGGCTTAGCCAGCGGAAGGTTTCTTTCTAGGGAGGACTCTATAAAACCAGTTATTGTATTTTGCCGGGGGAAAGAAAGATTTTCTTGAAGTAAAAGTTATCTAGGCAGGGGTAAGAAGAAAAAGGTATCTAGGCATTGGTAACGCGCTCGCTTGGTAAACCGAGTGAAGCAAATTCAAATCCCGGGTCTCGTACCTCTGATATTTTCATGTGCGAGTCATTTCTAACACAATTACCACTTGTCTTAACGGTGAAGTAAAACATCGTGAGGAAACCTACCTGCATGTCTGAGAGAACCTAGCAAGTTTTCAAAAGACATGTGAAGTCCACCAATCTGCACATGGCCAGCGTGGTGGACTATGGCCTGATCCCCCTCGTACTGAAAAGAGGCCCGTGCCCAGCAGTGGGACGTTAAAAAGGGCTGAATACATACATACCTAAATACATACAAAAGGTATCCTAAATGTTGACTCGAGTAATAAGTTATCACATCACCAAATTTCATTCAAAACGGTACATTACTTTTCGCGTGAAACGCTCACGCAAAAACAGACAAACACAACACACAACAGGCAAACAGACAAATTTTTTAATAAGTATTGTTTTGGGGTTTACGTTGTATACATAATACGTTACAAATAAACAAAAACATCTATCCCACGGGAACAATACATTTTTCCGGGATAAAAAGCAACCTATTTGTTATTCTGATGTATGAACTATACTATATATTATTGTAAAGTTTCATCAAAATCCAATCAGTAGTTTTTGTGTACTAAGCTGTATAAGTTACTATAGTTTTTTGGCTATCCCACGGAAACTCTTTAATATTCCGGGATGAGAAGTAGCTGATTTGTTTTTGTCATGTACGATCTATATTAATGTCAATTTTCATTAACATCCAATCAGTAGTTCTTGTGTAATAAGCTGTATAAGTTGTTATAGTGTTTTAACTATCCCAAGGGAACACTTTAATTTTCCAGGATAAAAAGTATTTACGATGTTTCACGGGGATATAAAGTACCACCATGCAAAATTTCATTTAAATCGGTCCAATAGATTCGGAGATTAGCCCGTACAAACAGGAAAACAGACAAACAGTTCGCTCGGGTTCGTCCATACCTACGAATATGTTGTATTATCTCTTTAACCATTTGTCCAAATTATATGCAGTAAAAGGGAAAACTCTTTTGTTTTAAACATTTTAACGATAAATTTACTTATTTTGATAAGAATTCATAAATGTTGATAATATGACTAATAAACATGACCCACCGATTTAAATTATATTTTTAATATAAAAAACTACTTTTTGTGACTTAAATATAAAAGTTAAACATATGCTGTCGGTGACTTTTTTGTAGGAATTATTAAGCTCTACAACTTTTCTCTAGAACATAACCATATATCTCTCATCGTTAATGCAGCGTTCGTAAGAAAAGTTTTCGTTCGACCGTTTTTTGTCTGACTTACTTTGCAAATCGGACTACCACGAAAAAGCCTTCTCAGTCTTCAGGTTAATATATAGCCTATGACACTCAGAAAGAACGTGGCTTTCTATTGGTGAAAGAATTTTGAAAATCGGTTCAGTAGATCCAGAGATTACCCCCTACAACGTCACAAACTCACCAACTCACAAACCCACAAACTCACAAGATCACACACTTTACCTCTTTATAATATTAGTATAGATAACTTGAAAAAATAAAGGGGGTTTTCATTTAGAATAGATACCTAATCAGATATTTTCGAAGTCGAATCGAATACGAAAAGATAGTTTTATTTAAAATGTCAAATATTCGTGTAAATCTACGAAAATATGATATAGGTATAAGCAAGGTAAGTGATAATTCGAAACGCAGCCGGTGCGCGTTCGGCTGATGAGTACTAGACTTTATTCACGTTGGGTTTTGTTTCTAGCCTTTTTAAATCATTTAAAAAAACG